GAAGGGGTGGGGGGAGTGTGCAGAAAATGAGGAGACAAATACACAGTGATGAAAGGAGACTGGGCTTCGGGCGGTGAGCGCAGTGCGGTGCACAGATGTGTTACAGGGCTGTACACTTGAGATTTATGTAACCATGAACTAACGTTATCCCAATAAATTTTTTTTTTTAATGAAGGATTTATGAATAAAAATGCTCAACATGATATTGTCTAGATAGCCAGTAACTGGTGCAACACAAATGTTTGACAATAAGTATCTATCTTAAATGAGAGCTGTACAATTATGGAAAACTATGTTTTGTGAAATATTTACCTGATTAAATGAGGGTGGGACAAGATAGGTAACAAAAGGGAATGATTCAAAATGTGACAAAAAAAGAATTGCTTATGTTCAATATGCAAACAAACTAAAAAGATAATACAGTTGACCTTTGAACAATGTGAGGGTTCGGGGCGCCCACCGTGACGCACTTGAAAATCCACTTATAACATTTGACTCCCAAACTTAACTACAGTTGTCCCTTAGTATCCACAGATTCAATCAATGGCAGATGGAAAACAATAATTTTTTTTTATTCTGAGTTTGTAAATGCAAGAATACTGTTTTCAGTCACAGTTACTTAAGGCAGCAAATGGGAAATTCAAGGATATCCAAGGGTCAACAGTATTTATGGAAAAACCCAAGTATAAGTGGACCGGTGCACTCCAAATTCATGTTGTTCATAGTCAACTATACAATGAGACACAGGTTAATTCTGTACAATGAGATTATCATCATTTTTAAATTATATATTTTTCTTTTCTGAAGTTATTTTGAAATTAGAAAATAGAAATAGATTATATCTTTCAGGGGGAAAGTTCTGCTTGCAAAAGGAGAGGGTTAGTATGTGACAGGGAGGACAGTCTCTACAGAAGCCCAAGGCCCACATAGAACAGGCCATGGGGAGGGGCGGGCACAGGGGAGGACACAAGGACTCCTGGCCCTGCCCTGGCCTGGCCAGTGGAGGCAGGGAGGAGCCCAGAATAAGCTGTTCTTTCTTTCCTTCCCTCCACACACCAGCTTCCAGGAAAGGCCGTGTCAGACATAGAGCTCGCTGCTCAGGCCAGAGTCATGCCAACCCAGGCTCGGCTGCCCATCCTGCTTCTTTGTGTTCTGCTGCTGCAGGCCCAGGGAGGGTAC